TTTTTTTTTTTTTTTTTTTTTAGTTACTGTCGCACAAAATCATAAATAAACTGTCATAAATATTTGCAGTCAAATTAAAGGAACGATCAAACTACCTCCATTTCTCTCCACGTCATTCTTTTTTTTTTTTTTTTTTTTTCTTTTCCTAACAATCGTATAAATGAGAGTGCAGTCAACGTGGTCAAATTGCGTGACACACTCTGTATACGTAGATAATTTAAATTGCAATACGCTGACTCAGTGTTCCAGCGGTAAATTTACTAACAAAAACAGCGATCAAGTTTTTTCCATTAGCACAATGTCTCGATGATAATCCTGGAAATTCGAAAGCTGGTGTTCTCTTTCCTGATTGCGATTTTATCTCTTTCATATCTTTATCCCATTATGTTCTTTCATATGAAATTGAAATCTTTTGAAATCTCCAACACATTTTTCATTGTTACTAATTCAGTCCATGCTCTTCACTGTATCATTGAATTGGTTAAAAATGTCCGCTTGACGATATTAATATACTATACATCGTATAATGATTTATAACTAATATAAAACGTGCACGTAATCGTTCGTCTAAAATCAGTACTTAATTAAGTAGTCAAGCATAAATTATTGATCAAAAGGAAACTATGTCTGCAGCAGTGTGCTGGTACCATTGAAAGTGTAAGAGACGCTCATTAATAATGAATGAATATTGATCAATGTTCGAAATAAACAGATTTGTATGTATTCCTCGACGCACAGTGAGGTGTTCGCAAATGGAAGAGCTTTTTTTATACTTCCCGATGATTCCCAATTAAAATTTTTTTATAATCGTGTAATCAAAGGGAGATTTTAGCTATAAAATAGAACGATATAAAAATTAATTGTAAATATTTATAGAATATGTTTCATATAGAAACGAAGTATTCATAGCGGATATTACATGCTTGGAAGCTATGTGATGGAAAGAAATTTTTTAAACTTTTTCACTCACCTGGTGAGAAAATTAATTAAGTTTTATACTGTTTTGAAACTAAGATCTTCCTTACAAAATTTTAAAAAAATTCTTTCCAATTGCATCGGTCGAATTTCGAGGTAAAATTTTAATGTAAAAAGAAAGAAAAAATGGATTCGTAATATAATTTTGTTAATGAAAAAAAAAAAAAAAAACATGACTCTAAGTCGTACTTACGTAACAACAGATATGACGTTAATTAGTCAATCATGTGTACATATATCGTTTGCAATTGATCCGATTGTGAGTCACTTTCGACTTAAAACTAATAGAACATAAGTGTTCACGATGTTTAAAAAACTTGGGATTTCCAAATATTTATTAATATAGAGGTCGACTTTTCTCGAGTATTAGAAGGCAAATAGTTTATGCGATTGAAGTTTTCCAATTTTCCACATTACCTATTATACAGCAAAAATTATCTCAATCAGATATTAACTTTTAATATTAATTTTTAATAAATGTTATACTGTATTACAAATTCCACATTACCTATTATACAGTAAAAATTATCTCAATCAGATATAACTAATATTAATTTTTAATAAATGTTATACTGTATTACAAATATTACATAAGAGTCCTCATCAAATTATATACAGTATGCCAAAGGTATCATAAATTGTGATTAGTGATAACAGTAATATACTTCATTAACAAATATATTAAGGAGTCAAGCAATTAATTGATATCGTTTATATTACACTAATCATTGGGCTCTTTGAATCACTTACTCATCGAATGTCCCATCTGCTTTCAGATCTTTTGTCTCCCAGTATTTACTTATAACTAGTGACAAAATCTAAACAGAACGTAGAATATAGGATGTATAAAAATGATAAAATCTTTTATTACATTTGTGAATGATTATTTGTATTTTTTACACTGTATTTTTTAGCATTACATTTTCAATAATTATGTTTTGAATAAACAGTTTAATTAATATGTAAATATTGCAGCATCAAGTGATTAAAAATATATATAATTTAAAAGTTTTTGTAATTTGTAATTTAAAATTTACAAGAAAGATAGGAATAACAATTTGTTTCTATCATGAACATTTGTCGAGAAATGGAACACTGGAACTATGGAAATAATAATTCTTATTGTTCTTAAACTTTTTAGAGAGTATCCCTTTTTCGTGAAACCTGTATCATTATCTTAACAGATTCGTGATCATAATTAATGTACTCATCAATTGTTCGCACACACTTCTTAGTATTGAGATTTTCTATTTTATCATAAATTGATAAACAATTTCGTTAATCGAACATTTATTTTCTTTTTTTAATTTATAAAATTGAAGAGGATTTAAGATTTTCAAAGTCTTAATTTATATACAAATGTATAAATCAAAATAACATATACGTAAGCAATATTTTTAATATACTTTTGATTTTACAAAACAAAAATGATAGTAACACACATAAAAGATACGTAACAAGTCAATAGTAATAATTAAAATATAATGTGACGATAAAAAATTGAAACAACAATTACAGAGTTGTTCTTTGTCATCCCTGGTGGGGATCGAACCCACGACCTTTGGATTAGAAGTCCAACGCGCTATCCTCTGCGCCACAGGGACTTGGTGGTGTAACTTTTCCTATAACTTCGTACTAGTGGGAAATGTAATAAGTAGATGTCGCTGATGTACGTACAATAGTTTATGTTAACCAGTGACGTATAAAAAAGAAACGAAACGATTATAATTCCGAACGCAAAAGTCTGGAACACAACAAATTGATCGATGCAACGAACAAATTTTATAAAATATCGATCGTTTGACAAGGTGCGATTGTGCTTTCTTAATCTCGGTTAAAAATTTATAATTTAATGTAACATCTCTTTCATATTCTATGAAGCTCGATAGTTAATTGAATTCACAGAAATTAAACAGTGTATTAAGTAACACGTCCTTATTTAAAATGTTGCAATCAAAGTGAACCAGTATCGCTTCACTTTCAAATTGAATTACTTCAAAAAGATAACAACAAATAAATCGATGATCCGCACGCGTAATAAATAAATAAGAAGTGCAAGAGTAAAAACGTAATTTAAAATTTTAGAAATTCTCGTTGCCTGCATACGTACATGTAATAATAATAATCGTACAGCCCTGTGTTGCAACCAATGTAGTCAACACACCAGCTCAAGCCACGCTCATGTACACGGACGCTCATCTACTCTGTTTGCCATTGACGCGTTTTGTCTGGTTCTTTGGCATTGCAAGCAAACGAATATGGATTGATTAGTGATTGGTTTGTGTGTCATCCGATGCCAGGCTATGTTGCGCGTATATATGAATAAACTGTGAGGAACACCGAGAAAATGAGATAAGCAAGATGCCTGAAAGGTGAGAGAAAAGAGAGAAACAGCCAGAGCGTCAGTCTGTGAGTTCCGAAGTTCCGTGTGTACATTTGGATTTTCACTGTGTGATGCGACGGCGGAAAGAAAGAGAGAAAAAAGGAAGAAAGAGATAGAGCCGAACGTCGAGCGAGCAACGGTGGAAGGGGCATAAAAAGATGGCCGTCCCGAAACATATGACAAAGAACGGCGGGCAACCGCCACAGCCGAAAAGAATCGTCTCGGAATGTGTTCCACGGTATCGTTGATCCTCGTCCTCGCGTAGAGGTGCGGTGTAATTTCGAGTAAAAGGGATCGTGGCTACAAAAGTCAGTGATCCTGTTAGCAAAGGAGCCATGACTACGTGTAAAGAATGGGCTCGATCGCATCGGTGTTGCAGTGGCATTGCTCGGAGTGCGCTCTGATAAATCCAACGGAGAGCACGCGATGCGCCAGGTGCGGCCTTACACGGCTTAGGAGTGATGAGAAAGCGAACCTCAGGCTCAGCCAGAGCTTGGAGCGTGAACTTCCAGAAGAAAAACAGCAGGAGGAGGAAAAGCAAAGAGACGGCGAGGAAGGTGGCTCTTCCTCGGTCTCGGTTCCGCCGACACCTCCGCCGAAACTTCGTTTGGAGAGGTCAGCGACGGGCGATACGCGTCCGACTACTTATCAATACGTCAAAACCGATCTCATATATCGGTGAGAAAATTGTTAACTCATATATATATATATATATATTTCTCTTTTTCTCTCTCTATCTCGTTCTCTTTCTCTGTCCGCAACCCCTACCCAACCCCTCTCCCTTCTGCTACCCTTCTCTTCCCTCCCTCGTTCTTCGATTTCTCGCGTGTTTGTATACAGTCTACCGAACCCTCCGCAAATCTTGTCAACTTTTTCTCTTCGAATCTAATACCTTACGTTTACACCAGTGCCAATCATTTTGGTGCAATATGTCGTTTTTCGAAGGTATTTTATAGTATGAGCTTTCCTTCTACCTCTCACTGAACAAGTTTAATTTTGTGCCAAGGATTTCACACAATGCGCAAAACAATGGTTTGTAGGGGAATATAATACAAATGTTTATTTGTTGCATGTTCACATAAACGTAGATATGACAAGTTACTATTGCATCTACGAATACAAGCTTTCATTTATTATTGATATGATATATACTTTGTTAGAGTATCAAAGTTAGCATATATATATATTTTTTTTTATAGTTATACTTTTCTTTATATTTAGATAGATTTTTTTTGAATAAATAGTTTCATTATAAAAAAGAAAAATTTATATATTCTTTAATTCTTTCCTCTTCCTTAATTTTATTATGTTTTCGTATACACATTGTTGTTTGTTTAATAATTGTTATATTAGTTTTTATATTAATTTTTAGCTCAGAGGGAAATTTAATTCTACCCAATAATCATATAAAGAAATCTCATCATGATTCATGGAATGGAAAGTCTTATAAAAAAGAGCCAGTTAAAAGATCTTCTTCTCTACCTTCTTTAATAACACAATGGACTTGCGTTCGTTGTTTGTTAGACAACAGTTGCAGTTCTGGCATAATTTGCGTAGCTTGCGATGCAAATTCTTCTATTGCTGAAACTGACAAACGGCAGATTGGAGCACGTAAAAGCAAAAAATTAAATCTACGCAAAACAAATCGTCTGAAAGCTGCATCTGAACTTCTGGCCAATATTTTGGATGGTGTCAATGCAACAAGTTCTTCTACAAGTGATACAAAAATTATTAATAAAGGTATGTACTATCTAATCAAAAGTATTTTTAAAGAAATTAATATATTATAAGTGTTATATATTACTTTATTTTTATTTTGTAGATATGGCACAACTAACAAGTATAAGTCGTAGTGAAAGAAGACAAGATAGAGAAGACTGGACCTTGCCACCGATAGAAACTATGGAGTCTACTACACTTTCTTATACAAATACCACTGATACCTCTCAACGTTCACCAAAAAGACATAGTCCTTCAATTTATGAACGAGTCAAATCTAAAGTTAGTCGCTCTTTATCTAATGGATCTGTTGTACATAAATTATCTGAACATCCAATTCAAAGACCAACAAGTTTAGTAGTCTCAGAAACTCAGCAAGATGATGCTCTCTGGAGTTGTGATAATTGTACTCTTGATAATGCTCCTGGCCTAGAACAGTGTGAGGCATGTGAAGCCCCTAGAAGCCCTGCTCCTTGCAGTGGAGTAGTTATCAGTGTACCTGCTTGGGAACCACGTGCTCTATCTTCTGCAGGTCCACTGTCCTATAGACGATCTTTTTCTGACGTTGAATCTGTTACAAATGTGTCTCAGAAAAAGATCGTTAATCGTAGGAGTCTCAATGAAGATGAACCACCTGCAGTACCACCGCATTCTGTTGGTTTTAGTACAAGACCAAAATATTCTTACATTGGAATTACCGACCCTGATATACCACCGCCATTGCCAAAAAAACAAAATAATAAATTGGGCCTTGTACCCACGAAAGCACATAGTGAAGCAACTAGTCCTGTCGGGGATATACCAAATGTAAGTTCGTTGAAACGTATGTGGACTTGTCGAAAATGTTCTTACGCGTATAATCCTTTGTGGTCAACTGGTTGCGATATATGTGGATCTTCTCGATCACCGCCTTCGTTGATGCAACCTAGTCTAATAACTGTCACGAAAGATGAAACAAGTTGCTCGATGCATACACAATCTCCGATTGTAGTATCCAGGGATAGTGTGAGATACATTCCACAAAAAACTGCTACATTGGCTACGGCAGAATCTGATTTAGATGATCAAGTCGATCCACCTTCTCCAGTGTGGACTTGTAAAAAATGTACATTATTAAATGCTGCTTCAAGAACAACGTGCGAAGCGTGCGGTGGTTCAAAGCTTAAAAGTATCATGCATTTGGAAGATGCTACGCTACGAAAAGGAGAAAGTTGGGTGTGCCCATCGTGTACATTAAGGAATCCGCTATCAGCACAAACTTGTAACGCTTGTAAGACATTAGCAGATTTTCTAAATGTACCAAAAGATAGCAGATTTTTTGGATCAAGAAGTCCGAGTCCAAGACTCTGTTCAACTTCTATAAATTCAAAAGTTGTTACCCCAAGACATAGGAATTCTGTGAGAAGAAACGGTTCTTCAATTGGAGACAAAAGACATTCAAGAATTAGAGATTCTACTCATGGTCAAGTACGATTTTTTTTACAATTGTTTTGTATATCTTTATGACGATATCTTGAACTACGGATGCTTGTGTAGCGACGTGACATATGAATACCGAGCCATTTTGATCCATCATAAATGTTTCTTATTCGCATACATTTCCAAACTTTAAGAACGAAATTTGTTATTATTTTTATTATATTTTTACATTATATAATGTACAATAATTTTTTATACAAATTTATTTATATACAATATTTGATAAATAGTAAAATTCGGAGTACGTGTTACTGTTAGATGATCAAAAAAACTCGGCATTCCTTAAGCAAAGGTCAATAAACTGTTCAAACATATGTTATTGATATATTTTCCTATTGATTCTCTGGTTTTTATCTTCTATAAATTTATTACATATGAAACATTACAATGTTTCCAGTGGCAGTGTAAACTGTGCACGTATGAAAATAAGAGTACAAATGGAATTTGTGAAATGTGCCAAATCTCAAAAAATTTATCTCAACTACCAGGTGAAAGGCCTAGAATTATTGAATCTGGCATAAATACACTTACGATACAACGGCAAGAAAGTGTAGTTATGGAGAATTTAAGACAAATTGAGGAAAGAGAAGCTTTGGAGAAGTGGGAGCGAATTGTTCGCTATTGTAAAGAGGTATAATCGATTAATTAATAATTATGCAGTATAAACGAGGACAATTTTTTTTCAGTCAAAAAGAAATGCAATACATTGATTTGTTTTTATATATTAATTATATTTAATTAAAAATATAATATATAAAATATATGTAAATTATATTTAAAATATAATGGTGTTATAACTTTTATTATTATTAACTTGTGTTTTACTAACATATTAATCTGAATTTGAAAAAACAAAACTTCTTAAAGGATAGAATATTCCTAGTAGTAACTAATTTACTTATTTTATAGACAAATGAACCTTTTGTCGATGACTCATTTCCACCAGCTCCAAAATCTCTATATTATAATCCAGCTGAAACAAAAGATAATCATGTTGTTCAGTGGAGAAGGCCTCATCAAATTAATGTTGATTCTACAGTTGATTCCAAACTGCCTTGGGCTGTTTTTAGAAAACCCTTACCTTCTGATATCTCGCAAGGTGTATTAGGGAACTGTTGGTTACTTTCAGCTTTAGCTGTTTTAGCCGAAAGTGATGAGCTTGTAAAGAGAGTCTTAGTAATGAGAGAAACCTGCCCAGAAGGAGCTTATCAAGTAAGATTATGTAAAGATGGAAAATGGACCACTGTACTTGTTGATGATTTGTTACCCTGTGATAAAAGAGGCCATCTTGTATATTCTCAGGTTTATATCTTAACGTTATAAGTAAAAAATTAATATTTATTAAGTATAAAAAAAAAACTTCCACCTTTTTTTTTGTTAATAATTTTGATGAAATATATTGTAGGCAAAAAGAAAACAACTTTGGGTGCCATTAATTGAAAAAGCAGTGGCTAAAATTCATGGTTGCTACGAAGCTTTAGTATCTGGACGTGCAATAGAAGGTCTAGCAACACTTACAGGTGCCCCTTGTGAGAGTGTGCCTTTACAACCATCTGCTTTGCCAAGCGAAGATGAACTTGATAAGGATTTAATATGGGCACAACTTTTATCTTCAAGGCAAGCTATGTTTTTAATGGGTGCTAGTTGCGGAGGTGGTAATATGAAAGTTGATGAGGAAGAATATCAACGTAAAGGTTTAAGGCCAAGGTAGAAAATATTCAACAAATATCAAAAATTTAAAGTACATTTATTTAGTTTTATATAAAAAAATTTAATCTATTTTTTTAGGCATGCTTATTCTGTTCTTGATGTACGGGATGTACAGGTAAAAAGATACATATATTTATACATACGCAGTTAAAAACTTACAAGTATTTTGAATAATATACTTGATAGGGAATACGATTATTGAGATTACGTAATCCATGGGGTCACTATAGTTGGAAGGGTGATTGGTCTGATGATAGTCCTATCTGGACACCGCAATTGCGAGAAATGCTTATGCCACATGGTGCTTCTGATGGTGTTTTCTGGATTTCTTTTGATGATGTACTAAAATATTTTGATTGTATCGATATTTGTAAAACTAGAGTTGGGTGGAGTGAAGTTAGATTGCGTGGGACACTTCCACCCTTATCATCCCTTAGACATTTATCATGCGTACTTTTAACGGTACTAGAACCCACTGAAACAGAATTTACTTTATTTCAAGAAGGGCAGAGGTAAATTCTATTGTCTCATTTTATTATTTAATATATTCGTATAATTGTATCAAATATAAGAATATGATGTATAATATTTATATATGTATTTAGGAATTCTGAAAAATCACAACGTTCTCAGTTGGACTTGTGTGTAGTTGTTTTTCGTACACGTTCACCAGCAGCGCCTGAAGTTGGAAGATTAGTAGAACATAGTAAACGACAAGTACGTGGATTCGTTGGATGTCATAAAATGTTAGAAAGGGATTTGTATATTGTTGTATGTTTGGCCTTTAATCATTGGCACACAGGAATGGAAGATACTTCCAGTTATCCTGAATACGTTCTTGCCATTCATAGTTCAAAGAGACTATTAGTTGAACAAATTTCCCCACCAGCATTTGTTTTAGCTGATGCTATAATAAGTTTAACCTTAGCAAAAGGACAGCGACATGAAGTAAGAATATTTCTGTAACTTGCAACTTTTAATAATTATTTATATGATATTTATTTGATAATTATTTATATAAACTAAGTATCTTGTAAAATATTTATATGCAGGGAAGAGAGGGAATGACTGCTTATTACTTAACTAAAGGTTGGGCTGGTCTTGTAGTAATGGTAGAGAATCGTCATGTAAATAAATGGATTCATGTAAAATGTGACTGCCATGAAAGCTATAACGTTGTATCCACAAGAGGACAACTCAGAACTGCCGATAGTGTTCCCCCGCTTCACAGGTAATAGAAATTTTTCATATGTATCTTTTCGAAATAAACACTATGATAACAAGTTTAACAAATTTTTTTTATTGTAGACAAGTCATCATAGTTTTAACACAATTGGAAGGTAGTGGAGGTTTTTCGATAGCACATCGACTTACGCACAGACTAGCTAACAGTGGAAACTTACATGATTGGGGTCCGCCAGATACTCAACATTGTCCTCAAATTGATACTCAAGTCGAAGGTTTACATAGTCCTCGTTTAATCACGTGAACAAATGAGTGATTAATAATAAATAGGACAATGTTTAAATGTATCTCGTTTGTCAAGTAAGAGATTTATTATATACTCGTGATATCCAAAAATTTACCAAAGCAAGCTAGAAAGATTTTGGTACAGAAGAAAAAATAGTACTGAAACCATAACATATTTTGTGCTTTCTAGCTATCCGTGTTGTACGAAAATTTTTAGCATTACGACAAGCTCACTATCGGATATAATACAATAATTAATTAATATACAATGATTCTGAGATCAGTGGTTAGAAATATTTTTTTTTAATTAGGTAGAAATCATTCGTTGTATCAATGAAAATGAATATACTTTAAAACTTGCGTGCAAATTAAGCATTTCTACGGGAACCATTGATCTATAAAGAAGACTTAAGGGAAATTAAATATTTATGGAAGAACAAATTAAACACATTGCTTGTTATATAAAAAAAATTATTTTCTCAACGTAACATATAAGCACCATAAAAAAAAAAAATAAAGCGTAAAGATTATACAGTAATAATATATAAAGTGAAATAAGTAACAGCCATTGATAATGAAAAACATATACACTCTTTTTGGAATTGCTTAGAGTATGGTATAACTATGGGTCGAAATTTTTTCAATTTTTGCATTTCACAAGTCAATCCTATTTTCAAATACATAGACCATATTCAGAACTCACGTTTAGAAATATATGTATCGTATATTGTGCATGAAAGCTGATGTTATTGGTCATTTAACTGAGGATTTTTGAATATTGGTCACATTGTAAAACTTTATCTTATCTGTATTTTTGTTGTTTCCATCTTGTAACTGGATGGAATGCTTGTGCTAAAAATGGACGTAGCGCGTAGCTACAGAACCAAAAATCTCTCTGAAAGTTTTACAGTATAGTGACGCGTTCACTGCCATTCTGTGCAATGTACATTTAACTTTATTGTTGTTAAACATTTTGTAGTGAATTATTAACAAATTTATTATCACTGATTGTTGTATGTACTTTATGTTCATTTAACTTATAATACATATCTTAAGCTTTATACATACACAAGCGTGGCAGTTAACGAGTTAGTCAGTTTTATAAGTCTTGTACATTTTGTAACCATGACATCAAAATAGCCACTTATGAGGCGCAATCATTTATAAATTTTTTTTTTATATGAATATAGAGTTTTGTTTTATTTTTATACATATACATATGAGTTTTATCTATAAACAGAACAACCTGGATAATAAAATATATGAATAATTTTTTCCTAATTTGAAAAAATATATTTATCAAATTATAATCTTACGCAAGAAATAATTCAATGAAACATTCCCTTTTTTTAAACATAAAAATTTCTAAATTGATGAATATATGTTAGAAGTGCAATTTCTCTAGTAGCATGAAATGATTTAAAAAATTGTTTGTTGAAATTTTTGCATCTTAATTTATTGTTGAAATTTTATATAAAAAAATGAAATTAAAAATATTTTGATTCTTATTAATGCTGTTTCAACTAGTAATTTTAAATATATCTATTATATGTATTAAATGCGATGTATGTCGGCACACTTTCAAATTCTTTTTTATATGTATTACGCAGGGCGTTAATAAAAATAGAGAACATTTTTTTAAGTATTGATTTAAGTATTGATTGTATGTATGGAAACTATGAAAAAGTTTGTATAATCTTGTATCTAAAGTTGTTGAGCATCTGAAATATTCGAAATCTGAATTAAACGAATTCGAATATTCGATTAATTAAGTACTTCGAGTAGCTTGAAAAAATCTTATCCATTGTTTTAATTTGGATTGTTTAAACTTATTTAAAGAAATTTAATTTTTCTCTTAATACATTATTTAAGTCGATTAAAGAATATGGAATTTTCTTGAACTACTCGAACAAGCAAATCGATTTCAATATGTATTTTTTAAGTATTAGGACGGCTTTATTTGTATTTATGAGTTATACTCTTAAAGCATTCTGAAGAAATTAATTTTTTGCGCTACGGTATTCTTTAAAGGATATTTAATTAAAAATAACAGTGAATAAATAATTCGTTTATATATATATATATATATATATATATATATATATATAAACTAATTATTAAATCAAAGATTAATGTATATAATTTTAATCAATGTATTAATTTAAAAATGTATCTAATATTTATTAATATTTTCTACAAAGTATAATTAAAACAATAAGCAGTTGCAGATACAAGTTTATATGAATTTTCTTTCATACTTATTTGTATGAAGGTTGAAAAATATTCTTTACTGATATACTGTGTATTATATAAACTAGCAAACATCCAGTTTTATATGGAAAGCTCAGTGCTTTGGCTTTAACATTAAACTGCCATGTTCCATGTTTTCGAATAATGATGAAATTGGCACTGAAATGTTCTTTTGATGGCAGTTGGATCTGATTGACAATTTGTCTAATACTTTCTATACACATTGAATGTGGTGATGTGACAATATCTCATGCTGTGATCAGCTAATGACATTTTTTGTCATTAAAATGTCAGTTAAGAAATGTCTCGATAAATGAAAAGGCAGCACATGAATATTATTTCAATGATAGTACAAAATATTTATTATAGATGCATTTGTTTAATTCGAATGCAGGAGAAGAAACAAGTTATGCACATAAGCATTATGAGACTTATTGGGAATAGCTTTCTTAATTAGATCAACTATATATATTTTTTTAAATGGAAACATTCCTTACATTTAATTACATTTTCTGGTTCTAATACTATTGTTAGTTGAGTTTCACTTGAAACAGTAAAAAAGCATTAGTTATACCCAACGGCTTCAATTAAACGGATCTAATTGTTAAGTGTGGCCTAATAATTTTAAGAACTCTTTTTGATTTATTTAAACTGTATTACATTTAAACAATATTATTAAAACCCCTTGCATTTTGTGATAATATCACGGCAATCAGTTATCAAAGTGAAACTTTCAAAGTAAAAAAAACATGTTTTTATATTAACATAAATCATTTTTTTTAAGTTTGGACAGTGATCAAAAGTTTACATACAAGTTTTAGACACCGTGAGAAAAATTATTCTTTTAAATACACTATTTGCAATAGTTTCTGTTCAAATGGTCTTAATTTACAGATAAAAGCATTTTTAAAAAAGAAAGAAAATTTCTTGTATTTGTGCATTTTCTAAAAAAAAACATAAAACAAATAGCAAATAACTTTTATCTTTACTATTATAATAATTTGAATCAACAGATTCGACTGCTGTACTCACTAAATGATAATTTAAAACATCAACAATTAAATTGCACCATTGTTCAGAATTTTAGAATAAGTCTCATCAGGGTGTGAATAAAAATTCAAAGACGATAATGCTAAAGGATATCATACAATTAAATATGACATTTGATTCCTTCTTTTTTTTTTCTTTCGTTTTCTTTCATTTTTTAGGCATAACTTGCATCTGCATAAGATTAAATTTAAAAAATTTAAAATAATCCTTAGTGCCATACCAAAGCATAACAAACAAAAAAAATCTGTAAAACAAATATTTAATCAATGATTTTATAGAGGCCCATTCCGTTGTTACAATGATATTATAGTACTTTTTCTCAAAGAAAAAAATATTCTATTTTAAATATTGTGTGCGTCGAA